TAACGGAAGTGAACCGCCAACTGTACAACAAACTTTAGTTTTCCTAATGTTCGTTTATGTGTGTGTGTCTGTGCTGAAACGATATATTGTGCTGCTCTACTCTACTTGTGTCAAGTTTGTTTAATTCTGTTGAGTAAAAATAAGAGATTTAGTAAAATAATAAAAAGTAACCAGACTAGCACTGCACGATTCATCGAAAAAAGATCAAGATCTCGATTCAACCCTACACACTATCTTAATTCTGCTTTTCTACGATTCAGTCAATTATATTTTCAAGGTCAGGAAAGAAGCTTAAAGGCGGTCGCACAGGTCTTTACAGGAACATAAACACCTTCAAATATCGTTAAAAGTGTCACATACTGTATTTATAAGGTATAATTCACCCAGAAATGTCATTTCTGTCTTTATGTAATATGTATTGACGGCCGCGCAATCACACGTGAGCTGACCGCGAGGCTGTTTGTTTACTGCTGAGAACGCGCGCGCACACAGCACGCCAATGACGGCTACTTTAGAGAACAGAACCTTCATAGACTGTGAATAACAAGTAATAAAGTTGTAAATAACATTCAGTTTGTTGCACAGAGCCGTGTTGAAAGAATGATTTGCGTGTGTGTTTTTTTAACACAGTAACGGCAGCCATGAGCCGCACTAGGAAGTAAAAATGAAACTGGCTGCACATAATTTAAATGATCATAACGCATTTTACAGTTATGATTACGACAAGCATTTGATATGTTTTTTCTTTCATAGCAAACAGATTGTGTTATGCATAAAAATAAATGTTTATCATTGTCAGTATAACTATAGCTTATATGATGTTTAATAATGAATATAATGCATGAAGAATTCTAATAATGACAACTGATGATTTTACCAGTGAAAACAAATGGTCTAATAATGCTGTCAATGACAAATTAAAAGCACATGTCTCAAACATAATAATTCAACTTTATAATTATGAATAGTTGAATTCTGATGTCATAATTTTACTGTGACAAACAGGACATATTGAAAGTCTGTTCAAGTCAACCATAATGACTGTACAAAACATTGCATTTTCATCAACAGTATTATATATAACAATATTAATATTGTTGTTTTAATATTGTTGTTTTACCATATCGTCACTTTAGAATTTTAAGGTTCTATCTGACATTTGTCAAAATTGAGTTATTGAATGATTACTTTTTTTTACAATATGGGATGTTTTACAAAAGTTGTTTACATTTTAAGACTTTAAAAAAATGTTACACACATACTGTTTGCTATATGGATTGCAAAAACTTTAAAGCTCAATATCTAAAAATCATTCAGAATGCTGGTAGAACCTTATAATTTCAAGGTGATATGTTTGAGAATTAACAATAATAATAGCCTACTCATATTGACTTTTATTTTACATCTTGATCTTGATTTTAAGTTAAAAAATCGTGATTCACATTTTTTTTTCAGAATCCTGCAGCCCTAAACCAGACAGTTTATAATACCCGTTGATTTCCATAGCTAAAAATTCTGGAAATAAGTTGCTGCAATCAACAATTTGGTTTATAATATTCATATTTTGTGATAAGCAGAAGAAAGGGACTCATTCAGGTTTTTTTTATTATATTTTAAAATGTTTAGAAAAATATATCATGTTTTAGTTGACAATACCAACAACAACATATATAACTATTTTACTACCTGTAAAACACTTAAACATTTAGCCCTATGTTAATGTGTATGGTTGTTTTCAAGAGAATTATCTTAAATCAGTGACTGCAGCTGTTAAATAAATTTTCCAGAGGTTTAAAGGCATTATTAGGCCAAACTGCTGAACACTGTGGACATATGTACAAAGGCCACTTGCCATATTCCTATTTATGCCAGTCAGCACTTGCTCCTCTGCAGAGCAGGGTCTGTAACTGAGTCGTCTGTACAGGTGCCACTGTTAATGAGGGGAGATGAAGACTGCGTTTTACAGCCTGGCTCTGCAGAGGTGTGCTAATTAACACAGCAGCGCTCCTGAGAGTCCTGCATTTCTGGATGATGTGCATACAGTCAGAATGGCAGCAAAGTAGGTGATGCTTGAGACCAGAAGCACTATCTGCAGATTTCATCATTCAGAGTCATTGCAGGGATACCTCTGTGGTTTGTGGGGTGGTGATGTGAATATTAAGTTCACAGAATGCCTCATTCTGCATGCATCATTTAACATTTCTGTACTGTATAAGTTTATTACTCTCAGCAATAAAAAACACTGTGCATTAAGCATGTGTTATTATGAGCAGCCAAGCAATCGTTGGCATGAAAATTTAATCCACTAATTTGATCTAAGTATTCATTTATATTGGCTTAAAAGTTGACTTGAAGTATATTTCCATTGTTTTGGTCTCCCTGACCTTCATAGAAACAAAATCAGACTTCCTTTTGGTAAAGTTGAAACTTGATCTGAAAGTTTTGAACTTTGCATCAGTTATGTTATTGGTGCTTTTTATATGTGGTGTTTTTGTTTTTGATATCCAACTCTTTTATTTTGATCAATATTTCAAAGTTTTTCTGAGCGATCCAGACTCCTCTGCCTAGAGTTTCATCTGCTGCAGTCAGCTTTGGCTTTTCATGTGTAGCCTTTAATACTTTCAAATGCAAAGATGTCCATAATCGACAAGGTCAAAATGTGCAAATTCATCTTGTTGGATGCACTTGTTGGATGGTGTTACATGTATAAAAAAGGTTTTGTTTTTCATTGCTGTAATGTGATCTAAAAGGTGCATTGTTGTGAATAAGGAAGAATACTGTCTAAAAGATAATAGCTTCATAGGGATGCTCCCATCGATTAGCCAGAGATCGGTATCGGCTGATAATCACATTTAATGACTCGGTCGGATCTTATGAACAGATCACAAGTGTTTGTTAACAAGCAAAGGAAGATGCACATGCACACTTGGGTTTTACAGATAGCAGCTCTACAACATGCGAGGACGTAAATGATCGCTGCGCACGCATCATAGCAGCTAAAATATATATACAGATGTGGTGCAACCTTTTTTTTTTTTTGGAGTGACTCACGCAGGTGAAGGTCTCTTTGTTGCAACCATTGTATATCCAGTGTCTTGAGCTGCTGTGACTCGAGCGGAGCAATCAGCCCCATCTTCTGTCCAAACGTATGACCTCTCCCGGAAGCTTCGTGAGTCTCTTGCATATTATCCGCTATTTTCTCTAAAGGTGCTTCTGTCCGCGCTGAATGATTATAAGAGACATCTTTAAGATGATATGCAGTAATAATAATGTATTGTAGTAATGTAGGATTATATGCAGCATCCTTAGTTTATTATGTTAGGTAAAGAGAGATCTACACTTAAGTACCATACCAGGGTTGAAATTGCGACCTCAAAATATATTTGGGAGCATTTGTGCGCGTGCATAAAATTGACGTTGTGCAACCAGTTTTCACAGCAAAATGTTCACCACATGCGTGGAATTAGGAGGCATTCATGCGTTAAGCATCTTTGAACCTAAAAACACCAAACGCAGGGCTCAGGAATGGTTTAAAACAGTTGACATGTCATCTTGCTGCAGTAAACAAAGCATGCAATGCTTGCCCCGCCTTCAAGCTCTTCTTATTGGCCCACTGTGCTAGAACAGAACACAAATGGATTGGTATATATCAGCTGTCAATCACTCAGTTCTGATGACAGGGAGCTACAGCCATGAAAATGTGCTCATAATTTTTGGTGGGTGCGAAAATCTACTTCAGTGCATGGCTTTATCTTCACATTTCTTTTGCTGCTGTCAGCCTGGCATTGCTTTTGGGATGTTTGATGGTTGCCTATAAGTTGCAACATGCAGTGGCATCAGTCTGTTGATGCAGCTTATTTCTGCAGTCTATGTGAAAATCAGTTCAGATGCATAAACTCAGCCATTGTCCGCTGTGCATAGATTTGATTTAATTCAATTAGTAAGTGCCCAAAGGCACTCATTTCCTCCACGTGAGCAGCGAGAATGATAAATTTGAATTTTAAGTTTGCACTTCATACAGCTGGATCAGAGGGTCTCCTCTTCGTGCCGGAAAAAAATCTTTTAAATTAGAGGGTCATGACTCACCTTTATGGAAATGACAGGATGATGAAAAAAAAGAGTGTCTGTCATAGCACTGGCCTCACAGACATCTCATTTATCAGATTTCAGAGGCTCGCGCTAGCTTTCTGCCATTCTAGAGGAATTTCAATGAGGGCGTCTCTTTTGGTTCCCAAGAGAACCGGGGAGGTATTTTTAAACCGAGGTTCGTCTGAATAATATGTGGGATATTCCCTCCCTGCTGTCTTTTTTGCAGTCAAGCTGTCATTTTCATGGTAAGATGCTCTATAGAGTTTGGATAGATTATGCCGTCTGACCGTGTACCTATGCGAGGGGGACGGGCCTCACGCTTTTGCTGCTATTTTAAGCCAGAGAGGGCAGCATGCCTGAAATACAAGTTTGTTTTTGGGTGTAGGGTGCAAGCACAGACGGGAATAAGAGGCCGTGTCACACAACAGAGTCGACAACGAGAACTCCAAGGCCAATACAGACAAGATGGAGAAGGGGGAAGGGTAAAGAGGGATAGAAAGGGTTACGCTACCCTCCAGAGAATTGGAATTCCTTGTGAACTGTTCCCCCATTTGGCTGGCAGTTGTGAAAACAATTCCGCAGCATTTACTCAGTTTGCAGCTCAGATTACAGTTGTGTGAGTCAGCTGCAGGGTGCAGGCCGGAGGTAGGAGGTGGGCCAGACGGCTTGGCCAGTCTGTGCAGCTCAGTGTGTGTTTTTTTTTTTTTTTTGGTTTGTCTGCAGATCGGCGTCTGTTCTGGAGCTTCTCTCCAAAGAGAAACGCTGCCTGTTTGAATGTGCTAATTAAAATGACATTGGTTCCAGCTGGAGTGGTTCTAACTATTGAAGTGTCGGCAGGCTTCAGAAGCAATCGCTCATATCCTGACAGTGTCAGGCAATATAATGATCCCCTCTCTTGCTCTTCTCCACAGGTTTCATTTTTGAGTGACGCCGACAAAAACAGTGATCTGAGGGAGCCCCTGCGTTCTCGCCGCACCGGATCGTCACCCCTCCTTAGCTGCCACTCGACCTGCCACCATGACGTCGGAGCTGGAGAGCAGCTTGACCTCCATGGACTGGCTGCCGCAGTTGACCATGCGGGCGGCCATTCAGAAAGCGGATGCCCAAAATGCTCACGGACCGGGCATGCCTAAGAAAAGCGCCCTGCTGGATCCCAACACCACACTGGACCAGGAGGAGGTGCAGCAGCACAAGGATGGCAAACCGCCATACAGCTACGCCAGCCTCATCACATTCGCCATCAACAGCTCGCCAAAGAAGAAAATGACACTGAGCGAGATCTACCAGTGGATCTGTGACAATTTCCCCTATTACAGGGAAGCCGGCAGTGGGTGGAAGGTAAGGGGCGAAGCGCTGACTGTAAGCGTCAGTTAATTTGTCATTATTTGCTTTCTGCCCGTCAGAGACATTTGCATGCACACGAGTGACGTCCCTCCACTTAAATTCAATCAGTGTACCGAATCAGCCCTGAATTTAGTCAGAGGAGACTGCCAAGGTTAATGTGTGAAATTATTCTCATTTCTTATGCTGTCAAGGCTTTTTTTTCTCCTCTCTCCCTTCCTTTCCTTGCCAAGGAACATTTCGAAAATATCAAAGCAACAGCCACGCTGCTATTTTGCAAAGTGCCGTTCCGATCTGTTTATGACCATTAATATTTGACACAGTATCTTGTCTCTCTAGATACAAGAAAATAAAGGCTCTTTTTGCAGACACAAGTGTGAGAAGGAAGTGTGTTGATATTCACCCAGCCAGATCCAGCCATAGAGGAGGGAAAAAACTCCCTTTCATGGCTTGTATTATTCATGCCAGATGCCTTGATAGAAGTCCATTATGTTGGAGAGAGCCATTGCTGTGTCACCATCTCAAGGAGCATATGATATACAGAGATGAAGCTGTGCTGATTGCCTTTTAAAGAGCGGAGATGGAAATTGATATTAGAATGAGCTTTCCAATCAGTTGACATTTATTGGCAATAGAATCGGTAGCACAGCTTTATTGCAGGCAGACAAGATGTATGCGGTTCATATCCGTGCGAGACGCGGCCCTCTGCGAGCGTGTGCTTGTGTGTGTGTGTGTGTGTCTATCTGTTGGTGAGCATATTTTCACACCCACCGCCCTATTCTGCGTTGCTGTGAAACGGATATTTATGTCAGTGTAGCTACAAGAGCAACACATGATTCAGAAAGTTTAGAAATCACCTTAAAATATGTATATAGATGCAGTTTCGACTAGATAACTATAATCAGAATAACAAATCAAACATGTGGCTCTTTAAACTCCCACCCCATTGTTGCCTGTGGATTATAGAGCAGGAGAGTTTCTGCATAATTATCAATCCCGTTTCCGTTTTCTTCTCTTCAAAAGAGTAAGCCTGTTTCCATTGAAAAGATTTGGATTGGCAGATATGCGAGGTGAGTTTGAGGGTCAGCCGGGTGCTTTTATTCATTCAAAAAGATCCTTTTTATTATCCTGTTTCGAAACGTGCTTACACTTTGTCCGTGGTACCCGGAAAGATGGCTGTAAGTTAAATTGCTTGCTGGCACCCGTAATGCCTTTTGTGACATCAGCCTTTCTTTTTTCATCCCCCCCATGTACACATTTCGCACTGTGGACAGACATAACAAATGGATTTCTGCGTTTTTCACTGAATTCACTGAAATCGCTGTACAAGGTTGCTGCCCTGACACGTTTACCGGGAGACAGCTTTCCATTTTGCTGGAATGTAGCCTTTTTTCAAAAGCCTTGTGGAAAGAGGCGACCCACCGCTGTTCTCAATGATGGCCACTAATTGCCACATTCCATCTCTATATCATGTATTGTTATGGCTATTATGTTGAGGAATATGCAGTCTGTCCATTTACAAAGGGTCAAATATGCATTCTGAAGTGTGTCAGCATTCGATTAATCCGAGAAATGAAAAGTTAGATGATTGGACGCGCTTCTGTTGGGTTGTTTTTTATACGTAGATCTGTAGTTTGAAGATACAGACCGAATCGAATGCATCCTGGTGGTCTTTGTGATAGTGCTTGCATTTCAATGCATGGTGTGAGACAAAGCATCCTACTATGAGATGTGGAAAATGGCTTTCAGGATGTGGCAGGAGAAACGCAACTCTGATGGGAAAATGGAGCTATAGAGTTGGGTGTTAAGAATTGTATAACAGCAATACGAGTGTTGCTTTTAATAGGCGGGAGAGCGTGAATCTCACTCCGACCGCCGTCGACTATTATTTTAGAGAGATCCTTTGTCTCTGAAGTACACGCTGCTATATTTGCGCGTTTGCACATATACAGAGCGTGGCTGGGGTGAATGTAGGTCTGTGTGCAGTCATCGCCCTCCATCTCTCCACATCCCCCCTGAGATGTCGGCAGCAGGAATTTACGACCCAGCGCACGCACACGTCTGTTCTCTATGATAATTCTAGCTGTGCCAGAGAGATGAGACCGGGCTAATCCAGGCGGCGGCAACTCATTTAGTCATCTCAATAGAACTCCATTAGCCAACGCTTTTAAGAAATATCAATAAGTGCTGTCAATAAGAATAGATAATTCATCAAGGTCAAAAAATATTAATGCTGTATTAGGAGAGACAGATATGCAGTTTGAGATGAATTTTAGGACATTCGCTCTCTGTAATATTATGAAACTGGTTAATGGGGAGCAGGGTTGTCACCAGGTTAGGAAATTAACTTTTTTGTGCGCAAAAGTCAAAGCTACTGGTGAAATGGAGAATTGTGCAGCCTGCTTTTTCTTTTCTTTTTTTTTCCACTTTTTAAATGGATAAAATCATCATGATGTAACATTGGAATGATTATTTCTCTTAAAAACGTTACATTCACACTGACTTTGGCTTTTCAAGGGGGCTTTTTAAATATTTAAAAGCCCAAGTAATGTGCTATTGGACTTTTCATAAAAATCCTGATTATTACTTTCAGCCAAAACAATTTAACTCTACAAGAGTTTTCAACGTCAATAAATTTTATATGACTAATAATTATATAATAATCTTGTGTATTGCTTTGTGTCACAGAGACCTTCATTCGTTTGCAACACTGTGCAGTAATTTAGTTCTTTCATTTACTGACCGCTTTGCAGAAAACAGTCAACAAGCTTCCACTTGTCTTGCTGCGATGGTCATATACTAGTGCTGCACGATTAATCGAAAAGCTTCAGAATTATGTATAGTTGTATTCTGAAGTCATCACTTTACTGTGCATTAACAACCAGCACAAAGGTAAAGTCTGTTCAAGTCTACACCATTTCCAAGTCTATACACAATGTAGCATTTTATTCAACAGTGGACCTACACATAGGCCTAATATTATTAATGTTGTTTTACAGCATGTTTGAGAAATGGCAGTAATAATAGCATACTCAATAACCTTTATTTTACATCTACAGAATCATGAGAAACTTGTGATCTTGATTTTAAGCCAAAAGGTTGTGGTTCTTTTAGCCAGAATCGTGCAGCCCATCACACACGATTCTGTGGTAATCTGTGTCCCTGCATTATTTGTCTGTTCCAAGCTCACACCATTGTGGCCTAATTTGAGTACAGAATCACTTCTAAACTTCTGAGAATCAATTCAGAATCATTAGAGAATGTATTACAATGCATCAATTAATTACTGTTGATCTTTTATTCATACAGATCATAGACCACAGTTCGGAACACACTTGACCTACGGCTTAGGCTGACACATTTATTTGATTTTTTTTTTTTACTTTTAGTTTAATCCTAAATTTGTAACAATCGTACAGAGATTCTTTCATTAATCACATGTATGAAAGAATTAGGCTTTCGTTTAAAATATAATGATGACGGTAATAGCTGTGGTACGTTATTTGGGATGTGGTGGGTTTCTTAGCTTATTAAAGGTGTTTTCTGTCACTCCTTGTTTGGCCTGTATAACTGCATGCAGTGTATCATTGAAATTAATCTCCAGACCCACGCAACAAATTTAAATGATGGTGATTTGCATAGGTTTATTAATCCTTCGAGTCGCTGCATTCAAATATGAGTTTGAAAAAACAAAAAAAAAATCAAGAGATAACAGTTTATAGTTTAGATATAACCACCATGTTTATGGAAAAGATTAAAATCATTGTCACGTGCATTTAACTTGACGCTCAAATTAAAGTTGTTAACGGCAATTACATTATTTTAACCAATAGATGGTGACAACCAGCCATCAAAAAATGCCACTGAATAATTCTTCAAAATGACCCATCTAGCAATAAAACATGAAGTTTTATGAGTGAATAACTGAATCATTTATTGAGACTGTAAGTAAATATAAATTGTACAAATTAAAATGTTTAGCAGTATACAGTAGGGCTATCAGCAGCAGTATTAACAGTGAATTTTTCACAGTACTGAAAGTTTACAATTTATTTTTATTCTGCTCATTATTTCTTCATTTTATTTGTAATAAAATTAAAGGTTCAAAGTTTTGTTTGTTAAAACCAAGTTTCTTGCAGTACTGTTTTTGTAATAAATGGAAAGCAAATTACATTTGTCTCCTCCCCCTTTATGGCTGATCCGAAAAAGGGTCCGAGTCGTGACTAAAAAACTACAATGTGATCCGAACCATGAGATTTGTGATCTGTTACAACACTAGCTTTTTTAATATATAGCTTATTGTTAATACAATATAGCTTTTTTCACTATACCCCTGTTCAAAGTCATTTACTTTAGACAGACTTTATCACAACCCCACAGTGGTTTGAATTAAAGATCAAATTCTTGTATATGATTTGTTTCAAACAATTCCGTATTGCTGGCTCGGAACAGCAGGGTGGTGTTCAATTATAGAGCCACTACACAGATTCAAGATATTGCTTAGATTGCCACCACGAGAAATAATCCTCCATCCCTATTGAAAGCTCTTATATAAGATGCTTGTCTTTGTCCGGTTCCCATAATCCCAAGTTATCTGCATGCCAGCTAACTCTGTGTAAAGAGTGAAAGACTAAATAAGATTAATTTGCAGTCTGTCGGATTGAGCGGCTCACTATTCTATCAAGAAGCCACTCGCCACTGATGAGGTGTTTAATTCTGCCAAGATGCTTTTCACCTGGTCAGCCTCTGAATTTATGCATTGGACACCAAAAGCTGCTTCCAGTGATGCAACAACCATCTGGACCCACCTGATCCAAGCATTCAAGCATCCTCATCTTATTTGACCTCAGAGCACTTCTATAGAAGCTGTAGCAGGGTGCACCCAGGCTAAACCTCAGTTTAAAGGCATTAAATGTATGGATGTTAGAGGATTATGGAGGACGCGAGCCACACGAAAGCTCTTGTTATCCTCCGAGAATTTTCAATCTCTGTTTACA